AGGGCCCAAGGGCCCTCTTGTTATTTCATTACATCAGTAAAAATGAAAACTTTTATGATAAGCCAAATATGGGAATTTTTTGTAGAATCATTGTTATGAAATATTGAGATATTGTTTATGCCATTAATCATTTTTTTGTGATTTTAGGATGGACCAATGGCTGAAGGTATATCCCCAGTAGAAGCAAATGATCGACTACAGATTTTTCAGGTACATAGAATAGTCTTTGCTTCCCTTTTTGTGCCCCCAAGTAAAGGGGGGTGCATTTAGATTTACCCATGTCCATCTGTGCATCCGTCAGTTCTCATGTTGTGTCGCATGTAGCTCAGAAAGTATTTGACCTAGAGTCATGAAACTTTACAGGAATGTTGCTCAGCATATGAAGTTGTGCACCTGGGGTTTCAAGGCTCACCGCTTAGATATTTTGTATATAATTTCATCTATAGGTCCTCTACCTCAGTGAGTGTCTACCAAGTTTGTTCAGATAAAAGCCCAGCAAATTTGACCCCAGCCCTGTGGGTCATAGGTTTTCCTTATATGTCATAATAAAGTAAAAACTTAAAAATCTTCTTCTCTGAATTAACAAAGGCTAGCAGATGGATATTTGGCATAAAACAGTGTGTAGTGGACTTCTGCCAAGATTGTTCTAACTACAGCCCTGGGGTCAAAATTGGCTCCGCCCAAGGAATCATAGGTTTTCCTTTTATGTATATAGTAAAAACTTAAAAAATTCTCTTCTCTGAATTGACAAAGGCTAGAGGTTAGATATTTGGCATGAAATATTGTGTAGTGGACTTCTATCAAGATTGTCCAATTTATAGCCCTGGGGTCAAAATTTGGGGGGGTCATTAATTTTCATTTTGAACTTATAGTAAAAACCTAAGAATCTTCCTTTTCTGAAGTTTCAAGGCTTAGAGCTTTGATATTTGGTGTATAAAATCATCTATAAATCCTCTACAAAAGTTGTTCAAAGTTGGTTCCTACCTTACACAAATAACAGCCCATCTCTAGGTGAGCGTTTTTTGGCCAATGGGCCACCTATTTCAACCTTATTATTTAGATACTTCTGGATTTTTAAGCCTGTTTTATTTCTCTATATGTAGAGTCAGTTTGATGATCTTTGGACAAAGTTCACCATTTACAGTGGTGGAGAACAGCTGTTTGGTCTGTCTGTAACAGACTATCCAACACTTGTGCGTATAAAGAAGGAGTTAAACCTGTTACAGAAGTTGTATGGCTTATACAGTCAGGTAATGACAAGCATCAGTGGATATTTTGATATTCTGTGGACTGAGGTAGATATTGAGAAGATAAACCAGGAGCTATCTGACATGCAAAATAGGTTTGTGTTGATTAAGTTTATTATGTTTATGTTGAAATTCTTTCATGAAAAGTATTCTGAATAAATATTAGAATATTTAAGCATACAATGATACTGTTAAGAAAATTTAACAATGTAATGTGTTTAATTTATGAATAATGCCCACTTGTTGATAGTGATGAAAGGTTTGAGATATACTTCTTTAAAAGCATATTATGCCACAGAAATGTATATTGTTTTTATCCTTTAAATTTAGGGACAATAATCTGTTAAATATTGGGTTTGAAGCAATTTATTACATGGATATCAATGGAAGAGAAAAGTACTGGAAAGATAACAAAATTGTCAACAAAGTGGTATTTTAATTTCTATAGATAACCAGAGCAACAGATAAGCAGCGTATTTGCGTATTTACGCTATTAATTTTATAAAATACGCAATTGATTTTTTAAGAATGCGTATCAAAACCCATTGAAAAAAATAAAATACGCAAATGTCTTAAAAACCCGTGCGTATTGTCATTTTCACCACTGCAAAATTAATCTGTCGTTCGCTCGTAGTTTTGGACAAATTATATCGATATGCATGCTATCCGAATATTCCCAAATTAATGCTAACTAGTCAACGGTCTCCGGTCTTCCACAGTCCCGGTCTCCAAAGACCGACTTAGCCATATCAATTAAGCATGAGACGGTCAATTTGTCTACTCAGGTCGACGGTCTTAACAGACCGGCAGAGACCGTTGATTTTGCGGAGACTGTCATTAAGTAGGTCCCAGCTGTATCAATAGACGCTTTGAAGGCAATATAGTGTCGTACAAAAGGGAAAATGATTTGAAACAAAACAGTCGTAAATAATCAAAAATCAGTCAGAAAACGAACATGTTAAAAATATTATTAAATATAACATGAGCATTTTATATAAAAAATAAAACAATTGTGAAAAGTTGTAGTAAATTGTTTGTCCTATTTTCTTTATAAAACAGTTTTAATTTTATTGATATTGAAATTTTAAGATTCATATCTTATAATTATACGCAATTAATCTTGAAATAGGTATGATTTTTGGAATACCAATTAATGACCAATACAATTCAAAGAAAAGTATGGAGAATACCAAAATTCACTTTTAAAGCTTATCTATTGCTCTGGATAACTTAATTTTTATACTTATAGGGCTTTCAAAAACAAACCATTTAACTTTATGCTATCTCTTGCTTCTTTTAGAAATAGCATGGTTAAAATTTTTTAAACAAAATATCACATTTATTAAGATATTTAGTATTGATGATTCAAAAATGATATGCATTATTTTAGATGTCGCAGACTTCCTAAAGGTTTGAAGGGATGGCAGGCATTTTTAGATTTGAAAAAGGAGATAGATGATTTCAGCGAATCTTGCCCACTTCTGGAGCTAATGGCTAACAAGGCCATGAAAGATCGCCATTGGGAAAGAATGGCTAAACTTACAGGACATTCATTTGACTTTGATTCTGAAAACTTCACATTAAGAGACATTATGAAGGCACCCTTGTTAAAGTACAAGGAAGATATTGAGGTAAATTCATATGTTTTTAAAATATGCTTTGATTTTATATTTACTTGTGATATGCAAAGTTAGTATTTTCTTCTTTCTGTAAAAGTTGATTTAATGTGAAACTGTGTTAATGATAAGTTGTAAAAACTAGTTGCTTGGTAATTTTAATAGATGTCCTGAAATCATTCATTTAGATTTAATGCACCTTATAAATATTAGGTTGTTTACATACATATTTCTGCTTTTTTTTTCAAGGATATTTGCATCTCTGCTGTTAAAGAGAAGGATATTGAGGCCAAGTTGAGTCAGGTCGTGACAGACTGGAATGCAAGAGAACTTAGCTTTTCAAATTTCAAGGCTCGTGGTGAACTCTTGTTAAAAGGAGCAGAGACATCTGAGATAGTGGCTCAACTGGAAGATGGACTCATGGTTCTTAGTTCCTTGCTTAGTAACAGGTTAGTCAAGTACAAAATTTTATTAGTTTATAAATTAAAGGGAATTGGTCCATAATGGAAGGTCTTTAGAACCATAAATAATCATGTTGATAGTATTTAGTATCATATGTGACAACAAATCATGAAAGAATCACATATGAATGTTAGTAATTGTCAGATATAAAATCTGATACTAGAACAAAGTATTATTATTCATCATTTTAATATTTATACGTAGATCACAAGAAATATTTCATATGAAAATCCAAATTTTACATTTCTTGTTTTATAAATATTTGATTTTTTTTAGAAAATATGCCATCTTTAGACCACTTAACATTAAAACAATATGCATATAGCACATTAAACTACAATGATATTTCTTTACAAAAACTGACTGTATATTAGAGATGTAAGAGAAATACATGTCAAAACCATTACTGAAAGAATAAAACATAATCTTACCATAATGATCACACCATTATCAAATATCAATTATAATTATAAATTATCGTCACATAATATTTAAATAGGTACAATGCTCCTTTCAAAAAGAAAATTCAACAATGGGTTGGTAAATTGTCAAACACAACAGATATACTTGAAAACTGGATGATTGTACAGAACCTATGGGTGTACCTGGAAGCTGTATTTGTTGGTGGAGACATCGCCAAACAGTTACCACAGGTTTACCATTTAGTTTTTATAGAGATATTTTGGATGTTTTAAAGATATATTATGCTCAAATTTGATATTTGAAAAAAACTGATCATTACTATACTGTCTCTTTTTATAGCAATTTGATCTTGTAACGGGAGACTTTCCAATGTAGCCATTTTTCACCAAATGCTCAAGAAGTAATGGGTTAAATGTAAAACATAAAAAATTCTACAAAACAACAATTTTTCTTCAAATTCATATGTTAGGCCATTTTTAAACATGGAAAAACGCGATTTTTGGTAATTACCCGATAAACAGATCTTATTAATGCTTTTTTCAACCCCCCCTTTTTTGTTGTCTCAAATGGTGAAAAATGCCTTATTTAGGCCCCCAACACTTGTTTTTGTTTGAGAATTGTTGTTTAAAAAAGTGACCACTTTTTCGGCGCAGCCCCCCAAACAAAAGATACATCAGGGGGTTGCCAGAAGGGGGATGTGTCCCCTTCTGTTTGGAGGGTTTGAAGGGGAGAGACAGTCCCCCTCAATGCCAAGAAAACTTTGGACTTGTGAGAGGCTAAAAATAACCTCAGATCGATCATAAGGTAACGTGTAACCAACAGAGCAAAGCATTTGACTCTATCTCAATCCATTGAGAATTTGCAGCACTTTGAAATCAATTTTGATGGAAAAAATCAACGCAAAATAGTAATTTTTGGCAATTTTGAGACGTCCCCTCGTTGCCATGGTAACAGGAAATTTGAGCCTGGGGATGTTGTTACACAGGCATTGGTCCAGTTAACATTTGTGCCAAGTTTGATTAGTATTGAAGCGGTTTTTATAGTTTTATAGCAATTTGAACTTGTAACGGGAGACTTTTCAATGAAAACAGCCATTTTTTCACCAAATGCTCATTAAGTAATGGGTTAAATTTAAAAGAAACATCTTTTTAATACACACAGAGAAAAAATGTTACATTTAAAACCCTACAATCTACAGATAATTACAGTGTGATTACATAGTGTCATTAAAATTATAAGAATAGACTTAATTATTTTGACAACCGGGATGCCAATTTTCTGCATATATAGAGGTCGCCAGGACCACTTTTATGAACAATGTAAATCTCTATCTCTGAGTTTGCTACTGGCTATTGTCTGATTGTAATTATTGAGAATGTACCGCCTTTCAGATATGTTCAGTTGTTGTTGCTATTATGGTAAGCCAATGAACGATAGAATTACATATATCAACCACTCATTATCTTAACCTTGCGTCTGTCAGTAGTTGAAGAAAGAAAAACAAAATGTTGGCCTATTAGCAAAAGTGACATTAGATAATGAAAATGTTTGATAAAGTAGTAAAAGGCAATAAATTCTAGACCATCTGAAAGTCTTGGCCCCCTGGTCCCCCACCAGTGCTCTGCTCTTAACTTGCATCATCGCCATGGGACCCTTAACGCCCCCATGACCCCCTTGCTTTCATTTCTTTCTATTTTTTTTTTTTTCAAATTACCTGTAGGCATACCTGTTGACATGTAATTGGGAATGTAGCTTTCAAAACAAAGTACATTTATATACATTCCCATATTCAAATTAGACATATTCAGGAAAAATTTACTTAGATTTTCAGTAAGTTTCTGCAATGAAAGTATTTTACCTAAAGATGAGCATAGTATATCTTTAATTTCAAAGCCTAGAAGAAGACGATGATAATATTATGTTAGATCAGACATATTTGTAACAAACAATTTTAGGAATTTGAATAATGTGTCTTTGTTCATTGTTATACTCAGGCTGTTACAATGACGAGAGATTTAAGTCTTGCCAACTTGCACATCAAGACTCATGACTGTTGGATGCTCAGGTTAAGCACCCAATTTTTAGATTGAATATTTGAAGAATTAAGGAAGAGCTATTGTACTCATCCTGTCACACTTTAACTTAGTTTTTGTGTGCAAGTTTCATACTGTATTTCCAAAACTACTGAAGGGAATGTGTTGAAACTAACTTTTGTGATTATCTAACATGATGGACATATGTTACATAACTCCTGAGTTATCTTTTTATACCCCCACAAACGAAGTTTAGGGGGGGTATATAGGAGTCAGCTTGTCGGTTGGTCGGTCGGTCCGTCCATCGGTCGGTCCACATCATGGTTTCCAGACGATAACTAGAGTTTGGAATGAGGTATTGTAATCAAACTTGGTATATAGCAACCTTATGTGGAAACTCCGGTTGGTATTGCATTTGGACCCCCTGGGGTCAAGGTCAAGGTCACCGTTACTAAAAATAGAAAAATGGTTTCCGGACAATAACTAGAGTTAGGAATGAGATATTGTTATCAAACTTGGTGTATGGCAAGCTTATATGAAGACCTGGGTTGGTATTGCATTTGGACCCCCTGGGGTCAAGGCCAAGGTCACCGTTACTAAAAATAGAAAAATGGTTTCCAGACAATAACTAGAGTTAGGAATGAGATATTGTAATCAAACTTGGTATATAGCAAGCTTATATGAAGACCTGGGTTGGTATTGCATTTGGACCCCCTGGGGTCAAGGTCAAGGTCACCGTTACTAAAAATAGAAAAATGGTTTCTGGACAATAACTAGAGTTAGGAATGAGATATTGTTATCAAGCTTGGTGTATAGCAAGCTCATATGAAGACCTGGGTTGGTATTGCATTTGGACCCCCTGGGGTCAAGGTCAAGGTCACCGTTCCTAAAAACAGGGTTCCCACGCTGTCCGGGAAAACGGGAAATGTCCGTGAATTTGAACATTGGAGCTCCCGGCCTTGAAAAGTCCGGGAATTAGTGTTGATACATAAAAAAGTCCGGGAAGGTACGGGAATTAGTCTGGAAAAGGGGAGGTAAATCAAAAAAACCAAAATGGCGGTCTTTGCACAGTATATTGACTTCCGCATCTTGAATGTTGATGATTTTCGATTTACAACTGTTTTGGGAGGCCAAGTTTGACATTTATGAGATTTATCATTTATTTTCTGGTTACTATGGCGGTTTTGTTTGGAAAATCTAGGAAGACAGTCACAAATCAACCTCAAGTTTGCTTGATTGGCCCGTGCTAAGATGAAAGCTCACAGGTCTGGTTCTTCTTCTTCCAATACTGTACATAACCTACTCTGGGGCATTGACGTACAGGGTAAATGGTTGTTTCCTTTGGCAAATTTTTGTATCCTAATTGCTCACTACCATGCTAAAAGCCAAAGGTAAATCAATATAAAATAAAAAAAATAGTATTACATGCATGAACTATTGTCAAGGCAGCGCACAGCCAATTGGCCACACCATATCTGGGTAGCACAAAATACCCAAATATAACAAGAATATACTAAAAATAAATGTGTTTTACTAAAAAAGTGCTGTTTTAATCATGAATACAATATACACTTTCACTAAGATGTAATGAAACATACCCAAATATACATTTTTGAACCAAAATATACCCAAATACAGTATACTCCATTAAAGCTATTAAATTAAAAAAATAATACGAATGAACTTGTATGAAATTTCAACAAAATTATACCCTACAAATTTAAATGTAGACAACAAATATTATCATATCTTGCAAGTACATGTGCCCATTCATTAATGAACCTAACAGTTAGATAAGCAAATGTCACATTTTTTTTCTTACAACATCAGAACTGCCAATTTCAATGGAATGATCGAAAGTTATAGTTGGCTAAGTCATATTATTTTGTAAATATCAATTCATTTTCTCATTAAAATCAATATTGTATACAAACCAAAATGAATATTGCTATAATTTAGTGTGTTTGGGTATATTTGGGTATTTCATGCTGCCGCCATATTTTGTAGATGGTTTAAAAAATTGTAAGATCAAATCAAAAGATATGTCATTGAAATACAAAAAAGAATCCCTAAATAACATCCAAAACGGCAAAATTGAAAATGTTGTAGACTAGGGCTTGATATATGGTACTGGAAAGTGCACCCCGTAGCACTGGCTTAAGCAGAATATTATATTTTAACATGAAAGTCGTGAAATTTTGAATGTAGAAACACCTGCAGGCAGTTTTCATATACCCTTCAGTGTGACATGCTTTTGCCATTCTATGAAGCCTTAGTGGACTGAGGTCAAATGTCACGTTACTAATTAAAGTACTATGAATATCTGGTATAAAAAGTGATCCCTTGGAAGCATTAAAAACAGCAAAATTACATGAAAATTGCAGACAACCTGCAAAAACAGTTGCTGTCACAAAGTACATTTCATTATTTATAGACACTGAATGTATTTCTTAGAAAGAATTAGATTTATGTCATGAACTACATGTATTATATTGGTGTTATTAAATGTTGTTCTAAACATTACCATGAACATATTCATAGGACAAAAAAATCAAATACATGTAGCTTGAAATTTAATCTTCTAAAAAGTCCTTAAAAAATCAAAAAAAGTCCTTGATAAGTCCTGGAAAAGTCCTTAAATTTTCAAAATATCTAAGAGTGGGAACCCTGTAAAAATAGAAAAATGGTTTCTGGACAATAACTAGAGTTAGGAATGAGATATTGTAATCAAACTTTGTGAAAAGCAAGCTTATTTGGAGACCCCAGTTGGGATTACAATTAATTGAAATATTTCTTTGTACACAGTTGATAGTTTGTGTTGAAATTTTTCTTCAGACTACCTATTTTTCAAAAAGTTGCTGGTGGGGGTATTAATCACCTTCAGTGATAGGTCTAGTTACAGGGGGTGTAAGTGGCTGAGTGTTTAATGTTGTTGCCTTCAAATCACTTGCCCCTCACGGCTGTGGGATCAAATCCCAACAGGAACTTTGGATTCTTTCATGTTAGGAAGCTAGCTATGGAATGTTTATGGTTTTACTCAGGTACTCGTTCGTGCCTTCAATAATGCACAGAAGGGCACCTGAGGTCTTCCTTCACCAGTAAAGCAGGAAAGTTGCCATATGATCTATATTTTGTGTTGGTGCGACGTAAAACCCATCCAAAAAAAAAAAAAAAAAAGAAAGGAAAAAAACTTTTTACAGAGTTATGCCACATTTCTTACTGTCAAGCACTGAGAATAGGTTGATTAAGCTGTCTAATGGACAGTTCTTGTTGACTCTGAAACATTGGTAAAATAACAAGTTACTGTTCCAAATTCAAAAGTAGGGCATGCTCATTATACACATTAGGTAGAGTATGTTAGTTTCTAGGTTAAAAGAATGTGGGTTACACTCAAATTGAATGATGTGAAAGAATTATATACTAGTAAATGTGTTTTCTATTGACAGGAAGCAAAGAGGTTTCAAAACATAGACAAATCATGGGTAAAGATTATGGTAAGAGCTCATGAGATGCCAAATGTTGTTTCATGCTGTGTAGCTGATGAAACAATGGGTCAGTTATTACCTCATCTATTAGAACAACTAGAAGTTTGTCAGAAGTCACTCACAGGGTATGCATTTGGTTTTATCATACATGTATATCATGCACATGAAAATATCATGCACAAGAAGATACTTGTGGAAAAAAATATGGTCATAACAGTTGCAATTATTACTGTAAAATATTAACTTTAAAAATTTGGTTTATTGTCATTTTTCAAAAAAACTCATTGTAACTTTCAATTGCTCAGGAAGTAGAAGTTTTGCATTAACATGTACTTTGATAATTTTCCATATGAAAAATATATGAAAAAGGGTTTGTACATGATGAAAAGATAACAAGTTTAAAGACAAAGTTCCTCTTTTATAATAATCTTAAATGTAGAAAACTGTATGAGGTCACATTTTTTTTGTTGTCCCCCGCCTTTTTGAAGTAAAAAGGGGGATATAGAAATAAGCTCTGTCCGTCTGTCTGTCCGTTCGTCTGTCCGTCCGTCACACTTTCGTGTCAGGTCCATAACTTTGTCATTTATTAAAGGAATCTGAAATAACTTGGCACAAATGTTTGTTATGATAAGACGATGTGTCATGTGCAACAACCAAACCCCTACCTGCCGGGTCAAGGTCGCACTTGCTCATTCAAGGTCAACATTGTCTATTTGAGGGTATATGTTGTGTCTGGTCCATAACTTTTTTATCTTTGAAGGGATTTTGTAAATTCTTGCCACAATTGCTCACAATAATGGGAAGATGTGTCATGCGCAACAACCGGTCACCTACCTTCAAGGTCACATTTGGAGGTCAAAGGTTAACATAGTCTGTTACAGGGTATATTTCGTGTCCGGTCCAGAACTTTGTCATTTATTAAAGGAATTTAAAATTACTTAGCACAAATGTTTGTTATAATAAGAAAATGTGTCATGTGCAACAACCAGACCTCTACCTCCAGGGTCAAGGTCGCACTTGCTCATTCAAGGTCAACATTGTCTATTTGAGGGTATATGTCGTGTCCGGTCTATAACTTTTTTATCTTTGAAGGGATTTTGTAAATACTTGCCACAATTGCTCACAATAATGGGAAGATGTGTCATGCGCAACAACCGGTCACCTACCTCCAAGGTCACATTTGGAGGTCAAAGGTTAACATAGTCTGTTACAGGGTATATTTCGTGTCCGGTCCAGAACTTTGTAATTTATTAAAGGAATTTAAAATAACTTGGCACAAATGTTTGTTATAATAAGAAAATGTGTCATGTGCAACAACCAGACCTCTACCTCCAGGGTCAAGGTCGCACTTGCTCATTCAAGGTCAACATTGTCTATTTGAGGGTATATGTGTGTCCGGTCTATAACTTTCTTATCTTTGAAGGGATTTTGTAAATACTTGCCACAATTGTTCACAACACTGAGACGATGTGTCATGCACAACAACCGGTCACCTACCTCCAAGGTCGAGGTCACACCTGGAGGTCAAAGATTAACATAGTCTGTTATAGGGTATATTTTGTGTCCGTTCTATAACATTTTCATATATCAAAGGATTTTTAAAAAATACTGGGCACAAATAGTCACTTTAATAAGAGGATGTGTCATGCGCAACACCTTTATCCCTATCTCCAAGGTCAAGGTCACATTTCGAGGTCAAAAATAAACATAGTCTGTTAAAGGGTATATATTGTGTCTGATCTAGAACTTCTTCATAGTTCAAGGGATTTTAAAATAACTTGGCACAAATAGTCACAATAATAAGACGATATGTCAAGTACAACACCGGCACCCTTACCTCCAAGGTCAAGGTCACACTTAGAGGTCAAAAGTTAACAGAGTCTGTTATATGGTATATTTTGTATCCCGTCCATAACTTCTTCATAGATCAAGGGATTTTGAAAATACTTGGCACAAGTAGTTACAATGATAAGATAATGTGTCATGTGTAACACCAGTGTCCCTACCTCCAAGGTCAAGGTCACATGTAGAGGTCAAAGATTAACATAGTCTGTTATAGGGTATATTTTGTGTCCAGTTCATAACTTTTTCATAGATCAAGGGATTTTAAAAATTCTTTTTCACAAATAATTACAAAAATAAGACGATATGTCAGGCGGAAAACATGGGTCCCTACCTCCAAGGTCACAATAAGAGGTAAAAAAATCAGTCTGTGAGAGGGTATATTTTTGTGTTCCATCTATAACTTCTTCATAAATCAAGGGATTTTAAAAATACTTGGTACAATTAGTTACAATAATAAGACGATATGTCATGCACAACACCTGCACCCCTACCTCCAAGGTCAAGGTCACACTTATAGGTCACACTAAGAGGTCAAAGATTAATATAGTCTTTAAGATGGGTATTTTTTGTGTCCCATCTATAACTTCTTCATAGTTCAAGGAATTTTGAAAATACTTGGTACAAATAGTTACAATAATAAAACGATATGTCATGCACAACACCTGCACCCCTACCTCCAAGGTCAAGGTCACACTTAGAGGTCAAAGCTTAACATGATACATCTTTAAATTAATTGTTTCATTTTATTTCTTTAATAAATTTATTGTTGCATTTGCAGATCTAGCATTGATCATAATTTTGGACTAAAAGTCCTTAGATCCATACCTCAATCTTTTGAAATAGCACAATTTTATGCTTCATATTAAACTTCCCTGAGGCAGGGGACGTTGGTAACTCTGTTACAAATTCTTGTTTTTTATATAATAAACCTTTTTAACAGATATTTAGAAAAGAAGAGATTGGTCTTTCCAAGATTTTTCTTCATCTCTGATCCAGCATTGTTGGAAATACTTGGTCAAGCTAGTGACTCTCATACAATTCAGGTAAACATGACTTACTGTAATTTTGGTACAAAATTGTAAAATTAACAAGACTCCATTTGAAGAAGGGAAGTTGAGGTTAACACAACTCCTGTTAAGGGCTCACATATGTGGTGGAATGATGAAGCCTGGCTACAAAGGTCTATCAGGTAGTTTTTCAGATAGTATTTCTAATGTCACCAAGGAAATTAGTTTGGTCTTTTAGAAAAATTTGTAAATTCAGGCAAAGATTATTATCTTACAATTTATTTAAAAAGTTCTTTATACACACTATAAGGGTAAATGGTATCTATAAAATTAAAAAAAAAATTCAGTAAAGTTTTGACATATGGGATCACATCTTCGTCATTTGTCTGCGCTACTAATAAGGGATAGGAGGTAACTGTAAAAGAACAATAGAGTTCATTCTATTACAATAGAGAAAGGGGCAAATGGCCCTGTATTTAACAAAAGAACATAACAATAGAAATGGCCCTTTATTCCAATTTGGTTGCACACCCATCTTCCGTCACAAAACTTTACTGGACTACTACCCAAAAAAACTACTGGAATACTTTTATGCAATGTTTTCAGGTATTAATCACTACCACAGTACCAAATCTAGTTGTGCATTTTTAAGTTTGTGCAGACTAGTTTTCTTAAATCACTAATGCAATTTGAATGAAACTTACTTTTAATACTTAAGTAAGGGCATATTTGGACTGTTCTATTCTTTTAACATATTTGTATGACAGGCACATCTTCTTGGAGTTTTTGAGAATGTGAATGAAGTTGAGTTCCATGAAAAAGATTATGACAGAATTCTTGCAGTCATCTCAAGAGAAGGAGAAAAAATTATGGTATAATTTTCAGTGACTTTTTCTATCTCCGTTTCAAAGTCGTGACGTCTGTTTTACATTCAATAAAATTTAAAGCAGCACGCCTCCAGATTCATGCTAATTTTCATTAAAATTTTGAAATTTTATTTGAATGTGTAATATTGTAAAGTAACCAAAAGGAAGAAATTTTAACATTGTCAATGGCACTTACAAACCACGTAAATTACCAGAGTGGTCAAAATATGCATAAATAGCCTTTACTGAGTTAGTAACGCAGTAGAAATAAAGTTTTAAATACTGAACAATCAGGCATTAATCTCACATATTATGTAAAATATTACTTGCATCTTGAATCTTTTTACTTTTCCTTACATCTTAGTATGTCTATCTCAAGTTTGATTTTATTGAAACATTTTGACTCATCTGGAGGCATGTAGCTTTAAAAAGTAATTTTGCTATAGAGTTGCTTTAAGATCACACTTACAAAATAAAAAGTAAAGAAGAGAATTAAAATTAGTAAACTTTTTAGTAGTTATTTATATAATATGGTTATAATACACTGAACATTAATTTTCAGCTGGAAACACCTGTAATTGCCAGAGGCAATGTAGAACTGTGGCTTGGTGAACTTCTAAAGGAACAGATGAAGTCTCTACATGGTGTCATAAGAGATGCCTTTAGAACTATATCTACACCAGAATTTGAACTCTTGGAATTTTTGAACAACTTCCCAGCACAGGTATATATATTTTCTATTATACCTTTACCTTAAAAAAAGCTTTTTTAAATGAAAATTAAACTATTTGTACAAAGATGGCCAACATAGCTACTGGGAAGTATTTTTATTGTCTCATTATTCATTGCAGGACAGATATAATTATACCCCCGCACAACAAAGTTGTAAGGGGGGTATACTGGAATCAGATTGGCCGTCTGGCGTCCGGCGGTTTTTCCTTGTCCGCCCAATAACTAAAGATTCCTTTGACCCACAGTCTTCATATTTAGCATGGCAGGTTTAGTCATGATAAGTAGATGACCCTAATTGAGTTTTGAGTCACCAGGTCAAAGGTCAAGTCACAGGGGCCCTTGACTTCAAAAAGCTTGTCCGCCCCAATAACTTAAGATTCCTTATGACCCACAGTCTTCATATTTGGCATGGAGGTTTAGTCATGATAAGTAGATGACCCCTATTGTTTTGAGGTTACCAGGTCAAAGGTCAAGGTCACAGGGGCCTTGACTTCAAAAAGCTTGTACCGCCCAATAACTTTAAGATTCCTTTTGACTCACTAGTCTTCATATTTGGCATGGGAGGTTAGTCATGAATAAGTAGATGAAACCCCTATCGATTTTGGAGGTCACCAGGTCAAAGGTCAAGGTCACAGGGGCCTTGACATCAAAAGCTTTACCGCCCAATAACTTAAGATTCCTATGACCACAGTCCTTCATTATTGGGCATGGAGGTTTTAGTCGTGATTAGTAGATGAACGCTATTGATTTTGAGGTCACCGCGGTGAAAGGGTTCAAGGTCACAGGGCCTTGACTTCAAAAAGCTTTGTCCGCCCAATAACTAAAGATTCCTTTGACCCACAGTCTTCATATTTGGCATGGAGGTTAGTCATGATTAGTAGATGACCCCTATTGATTTTGAGGTCACCAGGTCAAAGGTCAAGGTCACAGGGGCCTTGACTTCAAAAAGCTTGTCCGCCCAATAACTTAAAATTCCTTTGACCCACAGTCTTCATATTTGGCATGGAGGTTAGTCATGATTAGTAGATGACCCCTATTGATTTTGAGATCACCAGGTCAAAGGTCAAGGTCACAGGGGCCTTGACTTCAAAAAGCTTGTCCGCCCAATAACTTAAGATTCCTTTGACCCACAGTCTTCATATTTGGCATGGAGGTTAGTCATGATTAGTAAATGATCCGTATTGATTTTGAGGTCACTGGGTCAAAGGTCAAGGTCACAGGGACCTTGTCAAATTAAAGCTTTTCCCCTCAATTGCTTCAGAATGCCTGTCCAGAGTGTATTGATTTTGACATTTTCACATTTGAAGCATGTAGAATACATAACTTAGCAATGCACTGGCTTAGTAACCTCAGATTTGGCAGGGAGGTTGTCCTTGAGTTCTAAATGGCCACTGTTGATTCTGAAGTGGTATGCGGGGTTATTCACGCCATGATAGTGGCAGTTCTAGTTATCAGCTGTAGAATGTACAAGAAATTTGTTTCATATTTATTTACTAGGTTGGCTTGCTAGGCATACAAATGATCTGGACACGAGATGCAGAAGAAGCCCTGACATTGGCTAGATCTGACAAAAAGGTTATGCCTACAACTAACCAGAGATTCCTTGATATGCTCAATAGATTAATTGACCAGACCACGCACGATCTCACCAAAGTTGAGAGAGTCAAATTTGAAACCCTTGTCACCATACATGTACATCAGAGAGATATCTTTGATGATTTGGTATGTATTTCATATACTAAACTAGCTAAGCATAACATAAAAGAAACATTTATAATTTAGAACTTAAAAATAGGAATGTTTGGTGGTACTTGTATCATGCTATAGTATTCATTTGTTTTTGGCTAACTCTTTCGGTGCTATAGTTTTCATTTGTTTTTGGCTAACTCTTTCAGATAAGTTTTAATTCTTGTTGTTGAATTAAGAAGACAAGTAATTGGTATTTTGCCTGAATCATATTTAGAATATCTATAGCAAGACAAGGAGAGTATTTTTTATTGTGTTACAATATATTATATATATATAAAGAATTGTGAACAAAACAGGGTAATACTTTGAATGTATGTTAGTTAAAATGTATTGGTTTCTTCAATGCAGCTATATTTTCTTTTTCATATTTAACATTTTGATTAAATAATTTAGTTTTGTTTCTTTCGTAGACAAGGATGCATATCAGATCACCATCAGACTTTGAGTGGCTCAAGCAGGCAAGATTCTACTTCAAGGAAGACACTGACACCTGTATAGTACAGATCACTGATGTAGACTTTATTTACCAGAATGAATTTTTAGGATGTACAGACAGATTGGTAATCACTCCACTTACTGATAGGTTAGTTTGTTTTAGATGTTTTAGTATCCCCTTACAATATACAGAAATTAATAGCTTTATTTTTTTATAATTGTTTTACTTTATAATGTCTCCCAAAATTTTTTCGGGAAACGTATTGTTTTTGCCTTCGCCTTCTGTTCGCATGACCAAAAAGGAATAGGGGGCCATCCAACTGTAAACAGAACAATAGAGTTCATTCTGTAACTATAGAGTAAGAGGGGCCTATGGCCCCCTATTAAACAAAAGAAATTTAACAAAAGAAATGGCCCCTTATTCAAATTCATCATGACGTCCATTTGTCCGCATTCAGCTTGTTCGGCTTCCACACTGACAGGTCAAACTGCTGGCCAGATTCCTGGTTGTGAATATGGCTCACGCATTCCGCTTGGCTGCACAAAATGAGTGATCAATACCACCCCTAGTTGTGCATATCTCCGGCACGTTCCTCTTGGCTGCACAAAATGGCAGCCAGAGCTTTAAATAGAAAAACCTTGTCTGGATTCTACAGATCAAACTGCTGGTGGGATTTCAATGAAACTTCACAGGAGTGATCAGTACCATCCCTAGTTGTGCATATCGCCGGCATGTTCCGCTTTGCTGCACAAAATGGCCGCCAGAGCTTAAAATAGAAAAATCTTGTCCGTCTTTCGCAGGTCAAACTGCTGACGGGATTTCAATGAAACTTCACAGGAGTGATCAGTACCATCCCTAGTTGTGCATATCGCCGGCATGTTCCTCCTTGCACAAAATGGCAGTCAGAGCCCTCTAGTTAATCCATAATTTTAGTAAATTTATACAGATACAAAATGAGAAAAATACTACTGAAAAGCAAAACTCACTAGGGAATTTTTTAGTTGTATTTATATAATAATGGTGTTTTATGTAAATGATTAAACCTCCAATTGTACTTACATGTATTCATTCAATGTTTTGTTGCACTTTACTTGAGCATGACTTTCTTTATTTTAGATGTTACATTACCCTAGCACAAGCACTTGGTATGTCTATGGGAGGTGCTCCAGCAGGTCCCGCTGGTACTGGAAAAACAGAAACAACTAAGGATATGGGAAAAGCACTTGGCAAATATGTTGTTGTCTTCAATTGCTCTGATCAAATGGACTTTCGAGGATTAGGACGTATCTATAAAGGTATCAATATATGTATTTGAAATTATTTAAAATAATTCTTTTTTCAACAACTAACTGGTTATTATCATAGTTGAAATAAAGTAAAAAAGAAACTTACTGAAATTTTACATTTTAGGTTTAGCACAGTCTGGATCATGGGGATGCTTTGATGAATTTAACAGAATAGAGCTGCCTGTATTATCTGTAGCTGCACAGCAGATCTACATTGTACTCACAGCCAAAAAAGATAGAAAGAAGGAATTTGTCTTCACAGATGGAGATAATGTAGACTTAAATCCTGAATTTGGTCTGTTCTTAACAATGGTAAAAACCAATATGTTATAAACCTTTAGAAAATGCATCAGAAAAACTGGACTTTGATTAAATATCCATCATAATTAGTGCTGTGTTGTGCTTTTGCATGTTTTCAGATACTAACTGCCATAGTTTTGTATTATGAATCTCTACTGTACTGGTCGGGGACCATCAACCGGACACTTTTTGAACATTTTTCTATACAGATTTCATAATTTCAAACCTAGAGACCTGAAAATTTGACACAGTACAGCTAGGTTCTTCTCCTTACTAACAAACTAGTTTGTTTATTTCTGACTATATTGACATTTTTATCTGAGGCCTGTCGTCGAGGGTATCAAAATTACCTAAATTGCCCACACTACAGTACCATGTGTCCGGACAGATATGTACATGACATGATTTAATTCAGACAAAAGCTTGGGTGTTTATTTTTTTTATTTTAACATGATATACTCAATATCAGCAGCAAATGCTGATGTTTTGGATATTCTTTTGTTTACTCTGCAAATGATTATAGGTGGTATATGAGGTCAGGTATTGCACACTTGATGCCCCAATTTTCAGAATCAACATTCTTGAAATAGACACATATATATTACTGTTTACGGATGTTAAAATAAATTTTATTAATCATAGAAGAAACATGCATGTTATAATAAAGTGACTAATAGATCGAAAACCACTGAACAAAGAAAAAAAACACTTAATTAAGCGTTTTCGGGGCCGTCCGGGTTTGATGGTTGTCCGGTTTTGGTGGTCTCCAACCAGTATACTAGTACAACTGTACCATTAACCTTTACTGTATTTTACTTTTATGTAGCCACTTCATTTTGTGACCTTTCTTAATTTGTTTTATGTTCAACAAAAGCTTTTCATTGATCACTAACATATATTCAAGTAAAGTGCATGCCTGTTTATGTCAGTCTTCCATTGATTACACTGCTTTGTATGTTTAAGAATGAAACATATTTGAGCATGACATGTATTATGAAATTCTTTTCATTTTGGATAATTGCTCACATACTTGTTGAATTTAAACAACAAGTATATATGACTTGCTCATATTCATGTAGTTTATAAAAAATTCTGGCATTAAACGTTATTCTCTCAAAGAATTATAAAGAGTATTTATCAATATAAATAACAATAAAACAACATTTTTTTATTTTAATTTTTGCTATCATGTTTTTTAAGTTGAAGAGTTAAACTGAATGACAGATATTTGTTTACATTGACAACTGTCCGTTTAAGACAGAAAGGGCGACAACCAGGATAGCTGCAATGTCTATATAATGTGGTATTTCTGGCATAGGTATAAAAGTTCTCAAATCAATGTCATTATTAAAGAGTGCATGACGCTTTCAGCAAATAGGCCAAATGGGCGTCTTTTTTTTTTTTTTTTTTTTTTTTTTTTTGTATTGCACATAGGTAAACATGGGCTATAACAAGAGCATGTTACTCTGTTCAAACACATGGTTTTGGTCCTGTTAAAACTGGTAAAAGAGGGGAAAATAGCCGATTTTATGCTACAATTTGAAATAAAGAATTGGAGGAAACAGGTTGGCTTATATGTGAAGGAGGAGGTAAATGTGAAAAATGCAATTAATGCTCCAAAATTCTGCAAACTTGATGCTGTTATTGGTCAGTAAAAAGTCATGGAATTTTCATTTCTCTTCATTGTGGGAATCCTGTAAAATATTGTGGCTTCAACAGTCTTTATTTGTTTATTAACAAAAGTCGGCATCATTCTGGTTTTGATGTATTTTGTAGAACCCTGGTTATGCTGGACGTCAAGAATTGCCTGAGAATTTGAAAGTACAATTTAGAACTGTTGCTATGATGGTTCCTGATAGACAGGTTAGTAAAAACATCAATATTTTCTCTACATTTCAATAAAGATTTGATTTTTTTTAAAGGTAATTATGCCCCCACAAATTAAGTAAAGGGGGGTATATAGGAGTCAGCTTTTTGGTCGGTCGGTCAGTCAGTCTGTTGGTCCGTCGGTCGGTCCACATCATGGTTTCCGGACCATAACTAGAGTTTGGAATAAGGTATTGTTATTAGACTTGGTATATAGCAACCTTATGTGGAGACCCCTGTTGGTATTGCATTTGGACCCGCGGGGTCAAGGTCACCATTACTAAAAATAGAAAAATGGTTTCTAGATAATAACTAGAGTTAGGAATGAGATATTGTAATCAAACTTTGTGTATAGCAAGCTTATATGTATATCCTAGTTTGTATTGCATTTGGATCCCCTGGGGTGAAGGTCAAGGTCACCATTACTAAAAATAGAAAAATGGTTTTCAGACATAACTATAGTTAGGAATGAGATATTGTAATCAAACTTAATGTATAGCAAGCTTTTATGTATATCCTGGTTTGTATTGCATTTGGATTCCCTGGAGTGAAGGTCAAGGTCACAGTTACTAAAAATCGAAAAATGGTTTCTGGACAATAACTAGTTAGGAATGAGATATTGTTATCAAACTTGATGTATAGCAAGCTTATATGAAGTCCCCCGGTTGGTATTGCAATTAATTGAAATAATTCTTTGAACACAGTTGATACTTCATTTAATATAGGTTCAGTTAAAAAATTTCTTCAGACCACTTATATTTTAAAAAGTCAAAGTTGCTGGTGGCGGTATTAATCATCTTCAGTGATAGGTCTAGTTTATTTTAAAATTAATAAAACTCATCTTGCAGTCAATGAATTTAAGATTTTGAATTTACTGGCCTGAATTCCAGTTTTTAATTTATTCTACTTTAAATTTAACTAAATTTTCTTAAACTTTACACTTGCCCAAATTAATTTACACTGGCCATTGGCCACCGGGCCAGTGCTAAATTTGATGACTGTCTTGTAGATGTGTTTTCAGCTCACCTGTCACATAGTGACAGTGAGTATTTGTGATTGCAATGTGTCTGGCATCAGTCTATAATCTTTTACTTTAAAAGAAATCTAATCATAAGAATTTAATTCCAGGCAGAACAGCCTGGTTGCCCTGTAACCGAAAGAAAGAACTTAAAAAATCTTCTTTTAAAAAACTCAAAGAGCTGGACATTAAGCATGAAATATCTGCTAGTGAGTGTCTACCAAGTTTGTTCAAATAAAAGTCCTGGGGTCAAAATTGGCCCCACCCTGGGGGGTCATTTATTTTCCTTAAATGTATATACTTGTAGTTAAAATAAAAAAACCCTTCTTCTAGAATATCCAAAGTGCTAGAGCTTAGATATTTAGTATGAAACATCTTCTAGTGGGTGTATACCAAGTTTGTTCAGATAAAATCCCTGTGGTCAATGTTGGCCCCATCCAAGGGGGTCAATGATTTTTCATATACACTGTAACTTCTGAAAACTGAACACCTGTGGGACTAGCCAAAAAGTTGGGAATTTGGAAGTTTCCAGAATGTAGAAGCTCGGAATTATATGAACAAATAGAGACATTAAACATCAAGTGATTAAGTAAAACATGATGAGAATTATATGAAGCTGATTAACTTCATAAAATGGCAAAATTTTAGGACATTTTTAAAAAAATGTTATTACAGTGTAACTTCCGAAAACCGAACACTCATGGGACTTGTCAAAAAGTTCGGATTTCAGAGGTTTCCGGAATTCAGAGGTTTATGATAATGTGGACAAGACTAAGCCACTTAATATCACTAAATGTCAAGGAAGAAGTGGCCTTTACTGTAATAGCATATATAATAGTCTTTAAAACAAGATAAAGATGTGAATGAAAAGAATACATTTTTATCTTACTTGCAAATGCTTCGGAATTTCTATCAGTTTGTAGAAATGTTGTTAATTGCATAAACTTACATATCGTCCGATGCTAGTTAACTAATTATTACATCAAATGCAATAAAATCCCTAAAGATTTTTGATGCATACATTGTCCAATTAATTGTCTTTTAATCCGCTAATAAACACTTCAAATTAACTGACCGCCGTAAATTTCTTTGATTAACCGCATCACTTCAAACATACCATTTCACAGTTTGTAATTTTAACGAGTGTCAAATTACACGGTCACCGCTAATTAGTAAACAATCGATAGGGAGATTAAATCTTCCTGCAGGGTTTACAATGTATTTCACACCTTTGGATATTTCCGGTTTTTAGAGGTAAAATTGCATTGACTTGACTCTAATTTTTCGAAAATATCGTCCGGAATTCAGAATTTAGAAGTTCCGAAATTCAGAAGTATTATATTAATAGAAAATAGAAGGGAAAAAATCGGGACCGAAAAAATTGTTCGGTATTTAGAAGTTTCCGGATTTCAGAAGTTCCGGAATTCGGAAGTTACACTGTACTATTTTTAATTTCTACAGCAACCATTGACTTTGCATAGCAATTAATGACTCTCATAGCAACCATTGACTTTGCATAGCAACCATTGACTTGCCATAAGAACCATTGACTTTCCATAGCAACTACTTTCTTTCCATAACAACCATTGAGTTCTATAGCAACAGTAACTTCAAAGCAGCCATTGGCTTTTCAGTGCAAACTGTTAATTTCAATAGCAACCAGTGACTTACATAGCAAACATTGCTAATATTACAAAGCAACCAGTGACTTCCATACCAAACATTTACTTTTTTTTTGCAATGAGTGAATTAACCATTGAATTACATAGTATTCAGTGACTTTCAAGGATTAAACTACTGATTTTGTATAACATCCAGTGACTTCTTTAGTAACTATTGTTTTCCCTAAGCACAACCAACCAGTAATGTTTTTACACACACACTATTTCAAATACAAACATAACTCTAAAGTTTAAAACTTAGATTTAATATCTGCTGTGGCTTATAGTATTACTTGTTCCTTGTCATTAAGAGTATTTATATTCAGGTGAGGGATATTAGGGCTTCCATGGCCCTCTTATTGGAGCTATTTTTACAAATACTTTATATCTATTTTCTTCATTGTGGTGTGATGAATTTTTATAATTAGAATGTTGACATGAATTACTTAAAAAAACTTGTTGGATATTCAATTATTAAATAATAACAATGTTATGCAATCCAGATTATCATGAGAGTGAAGCTTGCTTCTTGTGGTTTCCTTGAAAATGTCTTGCTTGCACAGAAATTCTACACACTGTACAAACTGTGTGAAGAACAGCTTTCAAAACAGGTTAGTTGTTTTTTAATATATTGTGATTTTACTTCTTTTTTTTTTTAGCAATGCTGAACAATAATTGGATTTATTCATTGTAAGACACTATATTATTTTGACATTGGATCTTATATGAGGCTTGACTAAATTATTGGATGTTACATTTAAAAAATAGCCTTCACATCATTGCTGTCTTAATAAGTTATAATGTTTACTTGTCAGTTTTATGGACCTTTCTGGTTTTTCGTAGCGGAATATATAGCCACACCTTTTCCATTCATTGCTAGGTCAACTGCTCACAAACAGTATCACAAACATAAGCACGTGCTCTTTTGTGCAAACCAGGTCAACCAGTGACTATGTATTATCTCTGTGTAGCGATTGGATAACAAGTTAGCCAATTTACATAAAACTGTAAACACCAGAAAGGTCCATTATTTTGATGTTTATTTCCCTCAAAGTAGGACAAATTCTTTAAAGTTCGGTTTGTGAAAAACTAGTACATAAATTGATATGCACATATGTATTTTTTTTTTTTTTTTTTTTTTTGAGGCCCCAACTGGGTAACCCCGTTTATTTACCCCTGATATGCACATATGTATATGTATCTGAAATTAACATGACTTTGAAATTGTATGTATAGTTTTAAGTTTGGTTTAGAATCACAACATTGTTTGCTCATGTATATCGTAGGTACATTATGATTTTGGATTAAGAAACATTTTGTCAGTACTGAGAACACTGGGAGCAAACAAGAGAGCCAGACCAAATGATACTGAAAGCACAATTGTCATGAGAGTACTCAGAGATATGAACTTGTCAAAACTGGTAAGTCTTATTTCATCTTGTTAGGTAAACATATTTGAAGTAGATTTAACCTTTTAGGTATAGATACCGATATCTAAAGACAACATTTTTACACATATTGTCCGGTTGGTATCACGATATATATTTAAAGTTAACACAATGGCGGACTAATTATGCCGAAAATATTTAGTTTTGTACAAAAAAAACTATACAGGATTTGAATTCCAGGTAATTCTTAAAGATGTATGAACAATATTATGCATAAAAAATAATTTTAATAAATTGAATATCACATTGTGTAGAGAAAACATATGCTGTCAATGAAATGAGTAGGTGGGATTAGCAGCCTAGCATTAACCTCACCTTTGAAAAGAATAAAAAATGTAACATTCATGTTATAAATGCAATTCTATTTCTGTTTGAAATGTCAATATTCATGAAATGAATTACACAGTGTCACTATATAAATATCTGTTGATAGGTTGATGAAGATGAACCATTGTTTATGAGTTTAATTGCTGACTTGTTCCCTGGAATAACACTGGATTCAGCAACTTACGCTGAACTTCAAGTGGCAATAGCAAACCAGGTAGATGCTGCAGGGCTCGTAAACCATCCCTCATGGAACTTGAAACTTGTACAGGTAATTCAGAATTATTGCCAACTCATTAACGTGAATATTCGGTGTAATGATATATTCAAAATATTTTAAAGATTTAAAGGATTCTTAATGTTTAACAATTTGGAGAAGAAATAAAGGTAAAACTATAAGGTAAACTTGCAGCATGAAAGTTAAGATGACAAAAATTGATGACCTTGGTAATTTTGTAAATTGATATATATTTTTCTGTCAAATTACAGCTATATGAGACTCAGCGTGTACGTCATGGAATGATGACATTAGGACCAAGTGGTGCTGGTAAATCATGCTGCATTCATGTACTGATGAAGTCAATGAGTGACTGTGGAGCTCCACATAGAGAAATGAGAATGAACCCAAAGGCCATTACAGCACCACAGATGTTTGGTAGATTGGATGTTGCCACCAATGACTGGACAGATGGTATTTTTTCTACACTTTGGAGAAGATCTTTGAAAGCAAAGAAAGGTAAAGAAACATAAGGAAAAACAGTACATGTTTTTTCTGTTCTCAAGTTATGCAGAATCTTCAAGAAATTTTTACCTATTCCTTTGTGATAAAAAGTTTGTTTAAAGACTTATTTAGAATCTAGGATCAGGGATGTCTTTTCTTGTCATGTGGACCTTCTTGTGGCATTTTCCTATATAAATTATTTTATTTAATAAATTCTGATAAAATGACTACATTAATTTAGAAATTTATACTGAACTATTTACTGCTGAAATGCTTGACATGAAATTTGTTTTATTTGAAAATCTACCTAAATTTTGATAACAAGTATTTATCTACTTTTTAGGAGAGCATATCTGGATTGTTCTAGATGGTCCAGTAGATGCTATTTGGATTGAGAATCTCAACTCTGTACTTGATGACAACAAAACTCTAACATTAGCTAATGGAGATCGTATTCCTATGGCACCAAACTGTAAGATTGTGTTTGAAGTGCACAACATTGACAATGCTCGCCTGCTACTGTATCCAGAAACGGTATGGTCTTCATGAGTTCATCTGCATTGGACTGGAGACCTATTTTACAGGTAGAATAACCTTATTACCTGATATGGTGACTAATTTTCTTTCCGTAACTTCTATAATGCATTTGACTTACACACAGTCTTAATATACTAATATTTGTTATTGTTTTTGCATTTTATAATTATTGTTGGATAAAATAAAAAAGGCCTTGGCATTTAAATTATTGTTCAATGTTTAAGAATTTTTTACAGGATGGTTAAAAACAAGAACTGCTCAGGAAAATGACATTCTATTGGACTGTTTGACAAAGTGTTTGATGATATCTTCAGATATGTTAACTTGAATCTTAACATGAAGATGATACTTCTTGAATGTAACCAGATCAGACAGGTAAGTTTGTTGATGCACTCACAGTGACAGCACATTTTAGTTAATACCTAAAACCACATTTTTCCATTCTGATTGAATGCTTTACTACTCATTACAAATGGCCCTTTATCCCTTAAAAAATTTGGTTGGATGTCCATCCGTCCGGTTGTCTGTCTGTCCGCATTAAGCTTGTCCGGCCTTCACAGGTCAAACTACTGGTGGGATTTCAACCAAACTTTACAGGAGTGATCAGTATCCCTAGTTGTGCACTTCCCTGGCATGTTCGGCTTGGCTGCACAAAATGGCCACCAGAGCTAAAAATAGAAAAATCTTGTCCAGCTTTCACAGGTCAAACTACTGGAGGGATTTCAACCAAATTACAGGAGTGATCAGTGTTGCATCTAGAATTTCAAAATTATGGGGGATTGTCCCCCACTCAATTGAAAAATGTAGGGGATTTGAAAAAGATGTGGGGGACATACATTGACCTTACAATATTACAAACCGAATAGAGTTCATTTATTTTACATTCAGGCATTTTTGACAGCTATCGGAAGTAGAAAAAATAAAATATTGACGGATACTACAAAACACACGCGAGATGACTAAGTCGGCTGCTACAAGCGATTTAGTATGTATTTTATTCATAACCACGAGTGAAAACAAACATGGCTGAAGCGTTTAAGATACGATGAAGGTAAACTGAATAAAGTTGAAAAGATTGTCAGATGCGCGACTTGGCGCGCACTGACTTCAATAAAATGCGCGATCTGCATAAAAATGCGCAAATCGCGCAGTCGCGTGGCCTAGATGCAACACTGAGTGATCAGTACCATCCCTAGTTGTGCACATCACTGGCATGTTTCGCTTTGCTGCACAAAAAGGTTGGATTTCAATGAAATTTCACAAGAATGAGCATACATATAGTTTTGGGAGACCAAAAACCCTCCTAGATTGTTATTTTATTGCAATAGTTAAACTGCTGACAGAGACTTATAAATTTAAAATTCTGTATTTTGTAGGCAACAGATCTTCTAGAGGGTTTAATTCCCAAAAGAGATGACAAAGGAAACCTACCAGGCTCCCATTTAGAAAAACTGTTCATTTTTGCCTTAATGTGGAGCTTAGGAGCACTGTTGGAACTAGAGGATCGTGCCAAGATGGAACATTTCATTGTGAATGATTGTGAAAAATTATCCTTGCCTCCAGTAAAAGATGATGAAACCATTTTTGAGTACTTGGTTGATGAGAAAGGTAATGAATTGAAGTCTGTTTGGTTTAATAGTTCTGATGTTTTCTTTTAGTTTAATTCAAAAACTTTTTTATATGAATAATTGTGTGCCTTAAATGAAAAATAGGGTTAGAAGGCCATCATTAGCAATGCAAATTTAATTTGAATTAAGTTATTGAAGCTGTAACTTTGGTTGAACTTCTTTCTTTCATTGACAGTTTCACTAATTTTATATTTTAGGGGAATGGTTACATTGGATGCATAGAGTAGAGGAGTATATCTATGCATCAGATTATGTTCCAGAGTTCAGTTCAATTCTAGTACCAAATGTGGACAATGTCAGAACAAACTTTCTCATTGATACTATTGCAAAGCAGTACAAGGTGATTATTTCAGTGTTATATTTTTACAGCATTTGCATTGTTGTTGTTTTTTATGCTGTCTGTTTCAAAAAAAGTCTCGTTATTATGCCTCATCGTCATCATTGTTGTCATGCAAGAACCTTAATTTAGACCATTATTCAAACATTTTAAAAGTTCTCAAAATGAAACATAGAAGTCTTGCTTATGTTGACATGACAAAATTTTCTGTCAAAAGTGGTTATTTTAACAGATCAGCATTAATGCTGCAAGTGGTGCTCTTATTTTATAATTTCATTTGCAAGCAAGATAAATAGATAAATCAAGTGTTATATTATTTTTGTGCATCAACATTTTGTTTTTGAGATCATATAAACTATTTTTTAAATACTTCTGTGTACACTGATGCAACTTTTTATCAATTCAAACAAAATGACTTTAATTAGATGCATGTGCTGATTACAAAATAAGTATTTTTGAATGAAATAGAATAAATGAACATGCCCCTCTAAAACGAAAGCGTGTAAAACACACACATCTTCCAGACTGGTACAATCCTGATATTCTTCATGCCTCTAAACAAAGAGATAAAGCTAAAAAAATAAATAATAATGAAGATTATAAGTATTGGAGAAACAAAGTTAAAAACCTGATTTCTAGTTCTAAGAAAAGTTACTACTCAGAAACAATAAATAACAATAAAAACAATGCTAAAGAAATGTGGAAAAATCTCAAACAATTATCAGGGAAATCTTCTAATCACCAGACAATTATATTCAAGATGAAGATGGAAATAAAATTACAGACCCACTAAAAACAGCTGAAGTATTCAATAACTATTTTCATTGATATTTTTAAATCTGCTCCAGCAAATTGTTCAATTTATTACAAGAAGATGAAATAAAACTGCATGAGTTTATTGAAATGCATTCAAAGACTGATTCTCCATTTACAATACCAGAAATTACTGAACAATTCATAATCAAAGAACTTCAATCTCTTGATTTCAAAAAATCAACTGGTCTAGATGGTATAGACCTAAATTTCTTAAAATGAGTTCTAAAATTATTTCCAAACCCTTAGAAAAGATATTTAATCTCAGTATATCAAATGGCATATTTCCTTCAATATTTAAAAAAAGCAAAGTTACACCTATACATAAGCAAAGGCAACAAGAATGAAGTAAGCAATTACAGACCAATTTCAATACTACCAGTCCTGTCAAAAAATTCTAGAAAGACATGCTTTAGTGATCACCTAAAATCATTTCTTGAAGCTAACTCTCTTTTTCAACCAAATCAATCTGGCTTTCGCACAAATTATTCATGTGAAACGGCTCTAACTTCAATTGTTGACAACTGGATTAAAGCAATAAATGAAGAGAAAAACTTATAGGGACAATATTTCTTGACCTTACAAAAGCATTTGACTTTTAATCAATCATGAATTTTATTAAAAAAACTAAAATTGTATAAAATAGATAAAAAATTCAATTTCTTGTTCAGATCATATTTAAATAACGTTCACAACAAGTATGTGTGTCAGGAAATACTCTAATGCTCAAGATGTTACATCTGGTGTACCTCAAGGCTCAGTTTTAGGCCCTCTTCTTTCATTATTTACATAAATGACATGCCTTTGCACTTATCACATTCCATTTCAATATGTTGCTGATGACACTTCCATTACAGTATTTGGACAAGCTATCAATTCAATCTGTATAAATCTTCAGTCTGACCTTGACTCTATTCAACAATGATTGTGTACCAGAAATTCAATGATTCCAAATGCCAAAAAAACTCAAGCAATGATAATTTCCCCTTCACATAATAATCCCACAATATCATTAATAATTCTAGTTGATTTCAACATCACTCTGCAAGATGAAAGCATTCAATTCTCAGAAACAGAAAAACTTTTTAGGAGTCCATGTTGATCATACACTTAATTGGAAAAACACATGTCAAGGATGACGCTGAATAAATGCAATTCCTTACTATATCTACTTGAGAATTAAACCATTTCTAAATCTTCAAGTTT